GGAAGACATTAGGGTAGTGTATGGAGTTCACAACAACCCATCTTTCCACTTATAAGCAAAAATATTGTCGGGGGCAGGGAAATGGTCAAAGCCAGGAATAGAGTCTAAACAAGAAAAGAAAGTGAGGCTTGCCTTTGTTATCACCTTTCTCTCACTCTAAAAGGCATTGCAAGTAAATTCCAATGAAAGGAACTCAACAAGGACTGAGCTGCAAGGATAAAGCTAAACCACAAATCATCTTAGACCTGTTTTTAAGCCTCTCACCAGCTATGGGACTTCCGGCTTCTCGTTTAACCTGTTTGTGCTCCAGTTCTCCTGGTATAGCAAATAGAAATAACATCTTCCCTTGGTGTCTCCCAAAGGTCCTAACAGCCAGATGAGATAATATACAAGAAAGCACTTTAATGAACAAGCATGGTAGAAATGCACAATATTCAAAATTTATTTTTTCTTTCTTAAATTTTCAAAATGTATTGAACAGAAAAGAATCACCTGCAAGCGCTGTGTTAGGTACTGAAGATACAGGCCTTGAGGGTACATCTCAGCCCTGTATACAAACTACCTTCATATTATCCAGCAACTCGTTTTCCTAGAGAACTGACCTTGACCAAGTGTGTCGTGGAACTTTTGTGATTGTGCACCAGCCACTAACAGTGAGTTTAGTTCTTCCATTCCTGACTCTATTAATACATCCTTAGCACTTAGAATCCTAAAACATCCTGGGAAAACTTTCACCATTGTGCCAAGGTGGAATAGGAATGGCATCAGCTTGTGTTGTACTGTATTCATCTTTAAATGAGTTCGGTCACAAGAAAACCTAACATTCGACAGTCTGAACCAGTGGGCCTCAACCTTTGGTGCAGCCCAGCATCAGCTGTGGACCTTTTTCAGGCCACAGCAGGACCAAGCATCCTCCCCAGAGGTCCCGAACCAGGAGGTGGGTCTCGGATGATAACTGGACATCAGCTTTTTTTTTCTTTTAGTTTCTATAAGAGATTTTGATATCAAAGGCTGAGATTAATTGATTTCAAAACCAATAAACTATGGGAATTAATTTAGCAGGAAGGTGAATGTAATTTCCTGTTGCAACTCATATATCTATCTACCTATCATCTATCCCGAACTATGGCCTAATTGGCTTCCCAGAATATTTGGGCCTCCTTCCAGTGCATCCTCCATATTGTAGCCAGAGTGATCTTTTTGAATTAAAAATATTATCATGCCATCTTCCCCCACACCCCTGCTTCCAACACCGATGTCTTCCCATTGCTCTTAGGAGAAAGATCGAAGTCAGAAACTTGGCCGCCAAATCCTAAAATGTCATCGTCTCCCCTCTAGTCTAATTTCACATGTTCCTACTGTGCCTGTATTGTTAGCTTCCTTTAACTGTATCACCCCCTTCTGCCACAGGGCCCTTGCACACCTGGTTCCTGTTGTCCTCATTGCCTGAACTCCTCACCTCCATCTCTTTTGCTCATGTCCTTTGTTTGGTTAAATTCTTTCCTTCAGGCCTTCTCAGCTCAGATATCACTTCTTCCTGAAGCCTTTCTTTCTTTTTTTTTTTTTAATTTATTTTATTTATTTATTTTTGGCTGCATTGGGTCTTCGTTGCTGCGTGCAGGCTTTCTCTAGTTGCGGCGAGCTACTCTTCATTGCCGTGCACGGGCTTCTCACTGTGGTGGCTTCTCTTGTTGCAGAGCATGGTCTCTAGGTGCACCGGCTCAGTAGTTGTGGCTCACGGCCACAGCAGTTGTGGTGCACGGGCTTAGTTGCTCCGTTGCATGTGGGATCTTCCCGGACTAGGGCTTGAACCCGTCCGTGTCCCCTGCATTGGCAGGTGGATTCTTAACCACTGCACCACCAGGGAAGCCCCTTGAAGCCTTTCTTGAAGTTCTCAATCGGGTTAGATTTTCAGCTCTACTTCTCCCTGCTGTACAAGCTTACAATGCCATGGACCTCTGACATCATCCCCTAGAATAGCTTTTTATTTATTTTTGTGATTATTAAAGTCCATCTGTCTCACCAGTAGTTTTTTTGCTCAAGAAAGCCCAGACCATATCTGTTTTGTTTAGTTGGTTATAATTTACTGAACAGCATTTTCTCCATTTAGTACCTGACAGAAGATAGACACCTAATAAATACCTGTCACTGGTCGAATTAATGAACGACCAGAAGAAAGAAAGAATGACCCCATTAAAGCGGGGCAGGCATACCTAATCAAATGGTGACCTAGGACTTAGGAATTCTTCCCTTTGTCCTGTTTCTTATTCTGTAAAACAGTTGGTATCCCTGCCTGAGATGGTAATTGCAGCCCAAGGAAGTCAGAGGTTGATGTAGGTGAGCCCCAAAGTGATGCAGCTACAACTGTGTTAGGTTTTTCAAGCACCTGAGAGCCTCTGACGGCAAAGGCAGGAGATCCAGTGTGTTCCACTTGAGTGGGCAAAGCTACAACAAACAGGGGTGAATCTGCCGCCTTCAGCTGTCAGATACTTGGCCCCTGGATGCTCTCTTCTTCTGTGCAGAACACCAAGCCCAGAGGCCTTCGCCCACATCAGGAGGCCTTGGGGATCTCACATTTGATTGGGGGATTTCATGTCTTTACCCACTGGGGCTCTCAGATGTGTGGTAAACCTGATATACATATATCTGTATATCTATATCTCCATCCCTGTACCTGACCTAATATTCTAAAAGCCTGGCTCCTCCACTCTATTGGCAGCCCTACTGATGCACTAGTCCAAATGCCATGAGACTCCCTCCTTTCACCTGTGATGTACACAGAGAACATTGTCCACCGTGGAGAATTAGGAATGCTATCAGGCCAACAGACAGTGGACATCCAGACAGAACTTGGGAGGAGTTTCAAGTAACTGACAAGAGGTCTAAGTCCAGGGCCACACAAGGAGAGTGGTGAATACCAGACAGAAAGAGCAATGCAAGGTAGACTCAAGCAGTAGCAGCCAAAGCTGTACTTTCCCCAGTAACGGGGGTAGTAGCTGCTCTCTCTCTGTGGAGGCCGAAGTAGAATCAGCTGAGAGGCTAATCTCCCTTCTTTCTTCTTGCAAATGGTGACCCTACCTGATGTCCACTCTGTCTCCACAAAGAACCCTATACCTCTCTTTCCCTCTCTGTCTGTCTCTCAACCTCTTTCTCAGAAACTATAGTGCTTGTTTCATTCCATAGATAACCTGGTTAATTAAGCCTAGCTACTCCTGGTATTTCCCTGAGACACTTGTCCCAAATAACGTGAGTAGATTTTAAGGTGGGTTCTTCCTCCATGCCCAAACCCAGGATTCTCTGGCAGCAACTCTGTTGAAAATACAGAAAACATGGGAGGAAACTGACCAAAAACAGAAGGAGAAATTGATCAGTCCAATTTGGTTGTCCAAATGAAGGACAAGTCAGCAAGAATGGCTGACATGTATATTTATTAGTAAAGGGAATTCAAGTAATTGCACAATGTCTGGGCTTGTGGATATTTGTTTCATAATTTTGAATGGAGTTTCTTTTTCCCACCCTAGGGGAGAATTTTTGCCCAAGTCCTTACTGAAGGTTAGCTGCTGTGTACCCCCTCACACAATGCTTGGCTGGGCACAGATCAGAAGAGTAGGTCACATAGATTCATAAGATTTGAATTGCTTTTCCTTTCCCTATGAATTAATCTTTTAAATGTCAGCATTTTAAACTTGCCCTTTTCACAAAATATGATACCATATGAACCTTACTTAATTGAAAATACATTTCTATTTCAAAGGTTTTTTGTTTTCTTTCCCATCCCCAAAATGGGAAAAGCTAACAAAACAAGCAAAGAAACTTGTTAAAGGATGGGCTGTCTGTGAGGGATGCTGGATTTTGTCAGTTTTTCTAAGAAACTATTCCTTAAGAATCTCAACTAATTCCACAGGCTATTTTTTTTTTTTTTACAGGTTTGGGATTTTATAAAGCAGACTTTATCTTCTCCTGCTCACTAGTGGGAAGTTTAGAATCACATGATTCCGGTCCAGCTTTAAAAGGGATATAGCAAGTCTTTTACAGCTGCATTGTTTTTACAGTCATTCATTTTGGTATCGAATTTTACAGATGACTGATTACTCACATGTCTTCTATAACAACCTTTGAGTTAAGATGGTAAGACTTTAATATGCCCATTTCACAGATTAGGTAACTGAGACCAAAGGAGACTGAATGACTTGCATGAAGTCATCCAGCCGGTTAATGGGACAACAGGATTAGAGCTGGGAGGATGTGTCAATGCTTTACCCACCTATAATGAATGAAAACCAAGTCCAGAGCGATGAGTTCAAATCCCAAGACTGCTGCTAACTAGCTGTGGTAACCCTGAGCAAATGGTTAAAACTTTCTTCACTTCAGCTTCCTCATCTGTAAAATGAACAAACATTGCCCACTTTTCTCTAGACTGAGATTCTGTGAAGAAGAAAATGAGGTCATTTTGATAGTACAAAATGCTGAAATGTAAACAAAATAACCATCATTATCTTAAACAATAATAGGGCTAAGTCCAATGCCATATCATGTGTAAGGCAAGGTGTCTCCTGTCCTTCCTCCAGCACAGTTAGGGAACCAGATATAAAGAAGGGGCTTTGGGGGTCCAGGACACATGGGAAGTGGTCCTTGATTATGTCAGGGAGGCTGAAGTTTTTAAACTGTGTGTGTAAGTCTTTTATTCATGTGTATGATCAGACTGTAAACAAAGCCTTCAGAGAAACTGAATATCAAATTGGAGCTGATAATCAAACACTTAATTTTCCAAATCTTGAAACTTTTGGGAGTTGGTGCCTTTCAGATTTGGAGAGCATCCATCTTAGTAAACTCCTGTCTGCCAAGGAATGTCACAGGGATCCTGTCACACAGACAGATGCTCCCAGCTATAGGAGGGAACCAGGGCTGCCTTTTGAGCCGGGGGCTCACACAAGCCCCAACCCCTGGAGAAGCAGCAGCGAAGCACCTCCGACTCCCCTTCCTCTGATGTTGTCTTTCAGGGTGACGTCCAGAGGACATTCATCCAAGTGGACTTCGGGGATGGCATCGCAGTGTCTTATGTCAACCTCAGCTCCATGGAGGATGGGATCAAACACGTCTATCACAATGTGGGCATTTTCCGAGTGACCGTGCAGGTGGACAACAGTCTGGGGTCTGACAGCGCCGTCCTGTACTTACATGTAACTTGTATGTTATTACTGTTGTTGGTTTATGACATATTTTAGATATTGTGTCCTTTTAAAGATTTAATCCAAAATTCCTTATCTAGAAGAAGCTCACTAGTCACCTTTTAGCAGGAGGGGAAAGGAGAGTGAGAGAACCAAGTGGGGAGAAAGCAAGAAGAAACCAGGGTTTAGTTTTGAGTGAACTGGACTCTGGTTTGCTTCACATTGTTCTCTTGCACTGACTCTGCCTCTTCCAAATGCTTCTGAGAGACGATACCTGTGTCTGTGCTGGGCCTGAGCAGCTTGCTGGGCTGGTTGATTGAATATGAATTTGTTGGTGGGGGGGGAGTTCTTTGGGGTTCTTTTTTTTTTGGTCGGAAATGTTTGAGAACAATCCCCATTAGCACAAGTAATGGAATTTCTCCCCATCTGATTTTTTTTTCTCTTCCCATGTTATATCTCATTATTAATAATTCTTTTAGACTTTTGTTCCTTTTTTAAAAAAAGAATATGTTTCCTGGACTTTGATCTGTGATGATTTGGTCCTAGAAGGTGGCATAGAGGGAAAGAGGGTAAATAATGTTAAGGAAGCTACATTTAGAAATAGTTTCAAAAAGTATTAAAGCTTTTCCCCCATTGAGGAGTTCAAAGGTGTCCTAATGAGACAATGATATCTCCTAAGCTGTGTTTGGTAAAAATGTTTGCCATGAGTGCCTCTTATGCTTGGTGTATATGGGTGTCCCCAGACAGGCATAGGACTTGTTTAGATTGCTGGATAAATGGCTTACTTTTAAATGAAAGTTAGCCCCTTTATAGGAATGGTCATGTTCAGATTCCAAGTTCTAGGCCAGGAGTATTAAGGCTAGGCAGTATTCCATGCCTCTCACCTGACTTTTGTGCATTGAACCAAACTGAGCACAGAAAGTACCAAGTAGAATCTCTTTTGTTAAGCTGCTGTGATCCAGTGGGTGGATAAGACTATTTAGGGGTCCCCAAGAGATTGTTCCTTACTGAGGTTTCCTGCCCTGTCAGTCATTCTTGATCCTTATCTCCTGTACACTCAGGACCCAAGTGCTTCAAAGAAACACACCCATCCTTCTTTGAGTTTAAACAGAGTTCTGCAAGATTCCCACTATGCCAACCCCACATCCCCCTTTTCAGCTAACGTCTGTTAAGCTCTTACTGTGTGCCAGGCTTTGTGCTAAACATGTTCTTTATGTATATGATCTTCCTTTTCAAAACAACCCTATGAAGTAGGCACTATTAGAAACACTAACTTACAAAGAACAGTGAGGTTCAGAAAGCTTAAATCACCCATTTGAAGTTGCAGACCTACTGTCTGGCAGAGCCAGGCTTCAGACTCAGGTCTCCCTGCCTCCAGAATCCCAGCACTTGGCCACTAGGTTATTATCAGTGCCTGTGCTGGCTTGGGGTTAGAGGATCCAAGTCTCCATCAGCCCTTACTCGCCTCCACATCTTTGCACATCATCCCAAAGGAATGTGAACATTTAGGTTAGAGGCAGTGTACTGGCTGTACAGCTACATGGGTTCCAGACGCATTTCCCAGGCTCTCTTCCGGCTGACTGCTGCTTTTCAGCTGTCCTAGATAGACTTCCCGGAGTTGCCTCTTACTAAAAGATAATCCCTCCCTATACATCAGTATCTACAAGGACAAAAGTGATAATATCCCAAGACTAATCCTAAAATATTTAAAAACTACGTCGCAAACCTTGGTTATTAGTAACAGAAATAAATGGCAACATAAATGGCAGTACATTTGCCGAGAATGGCTGCCTACCTGGCAGCTTATCATTCTGCACAGCTTATTCTATAAGGCGGATTTTGGTTAAAGATCTACTCTCCTGAAGAATTACAGTTATTATATTCCACATCCCATATATGTATTAAACACCCCTGGACTCTAAGCATGTGTCAATACTGATTTAAAATTCAGCAGCAGCTTTTCGTCTCAGTTTCTCAGGGTTTCCCGTAGAGTCATCCATAGTTCCCCCTCCTGGTTGCCGCCCTGTGGACTCTTCTTCACCTTACATAAAATCATATCCCATGAGGGAAACTTGCGTATCCCGGTTCTCTCGTGGGCTTACCGAATCCTGGGAAGGAAAACAGCACAGAGTTTGCCCCTGCTTCAGATTAAGGGTTACCGAAGCCATGACTTCTGAAAGAAATGAGTTGCTTTGTACACTTGCAATTCTTTTCATCTCATTAGCCTGATTGAACGGCTTAAGTGATTTGACCTTAACCTCAGTAGCAGGTGATTTGTAATGGAAAGTTTTGTGTTCTGATTTTAATTTTGTCAGACTCCTCTTGGGTTAAGCAGTTGGATAAGCAGGCCTCATATCATGGGACCCCTTTCTAAGCCTGGTCTTGGGGACAAGAATTAGCTTTTTATACTAACTATATGAAAGCAGGATTATTTTTAAAGTTTTCATTAATTCACATACATATAAAGGCCTTGGCACGAGCAGTGCCAGCAGGTTCTGACATGTTTGCTAGGGCTTCTCTCCTGAAGGGCCCATCGTGCTTTACCGTGCACATGAACTTCTTTGCTTATTCTCACACCTCTACCATGACGGGCAACATTTGGCCTTCCTTTCATATGGGGAAAGCAAGGATTAGAGAAGTACTATGATTTGACACTATTTTACACTAAGAGGAAGTCATGGTAAAATCATAATTCACTTACATTCCCCCTGCTCTCAAATACGGAGAGTAACATGGCAATTTTTAGTGCCACGGTGGCAGGATAGTGAAGGGATACATGGCTTTGTAGGAAGAACAAAAAGGAGCACTGGACTGAGTTGGGAGTTGTTAGGTCCAGATGCTGGCCTGAACTCCTAGCTGAGTTACTGCATTTTTCTGAAACTAGTTTTTCTCCTCCATCATGTGAGGAATGCATGTCTTGTTTCTCAAAGGTTCTATCAAGCAACTCATGCTGTGCCCTGTCAACTGGCCAAGCTTGATTTTCCATCATCACGATGCAGCCTGTGCATTTGTATTTAGTGGGTTCTGAGCAGCAACTCAGCTCAAGCTCAACTTACCAAAGCCAGCCCTCTGCCCCTCTCATCCAACCCCCCTCCCCCTACCCAGGGCTCTTCCAGAAAACCCCACGGCCTGTCTTGAACACATACTTCCTCCACTTCCCAGTTCAAAAAGGTGCTTTGATTCTAAATCAGAAGTTCTTAAATACTGGTTTGCAAAGGTCATCAGAAGCAAATGGAGATGATGTTCCTGCTGTAATGTTTCCAGGATGGGGAGGCTCTCTCGGGGCAGCTGAGTGATCTCTTGTAGCCTGACAGTTGAGAATTCCTTGAGGAATATTCACTGTGCTCTGCTAGTTTGCAAACTAATTAGACACGGCGTGCAGCCAGGGTTGCCTTCAAGTGGATGGAGCAGAGAATTTAAAGGACATGAAGATTTCTGCTCAGAAATCTGCCCTATCTCAGCCAGTCTTGCAGGAAAAAAAAAAAAAAAAATCTCTGAAGATTGTGCAAACTTGCAGAATAGGAGGCGATGAAAAAAGATGAGGTGGATTTTCCGATACTTCCCGAACCTCTCTTCTCAACTACCCCGTTACATAGGAGCCCTTTGCAGATGTCTTTCTGTCGCCATCTTAGGGTAAGGTGATCAGTGTCTTGAAAACCTGTGTAGCTTTGTAACTATTCACACGATGATTATATTGGCCAGTGAATGTCAGACCTGGGTTTTGTAAAATGTGGTTAATGAGCCACCTGCCCCAGAATTACATGGTAAAAATACAGTGTCCTGGGCCCCTTTCCAGACCTATTGAATTAGAGTTTCTGGCAGTGTGACATCATAGTCTGCCTTGAACAGATGAGCGTGATTCTCATGCCCACTGAAGTTTGAGCGACTCTGTTGTAGGGTCTCATCTTCACACTTTGAATGTCTTTTGTTTCTTCTGGTAGATTTTTTTTAACCTTTCAGACAAACAGCAATATGATACATGCACAATATTTAATTAGATGGTCAGAGGAGGTCTTCAGTACAAATGCCAGAGGCAGGTCACTGATCAGCACGCACAGAGACACACACACACACACACACAGTGTTAAGTCGCACAAACAGCACTTGTTCCCTGCAGCACAGGAAGACCAAGCAAGAGAAGGGGAACAATTCACACAAGTAATTTCTCCCCTTCTCTCAGCCGCCTTGTGAAGATTCATAAAGAGTAATGCAGCGCCACCTGCTGTCCGTTTTGCTCATTAAAGGCACCTGTCCGGAGAAGCAGTACCTGCAAGCTTGTTCCACTCTCAGCTGAGTGCGGCCAGCCAGCTAGGGGCCTCCAGGGGCTGGAGTTTCACTTCGAAGGCTCTATTAGGGCAGATCACACCCTCTGTGCAGAAAAGCAAGGCTTGAAAGATAGGCTTTGGGGCAACAGGAACCAGGTATATTGAACACATAAAAAGTACATGAGCCCAAGAGGACTTGGCAATCTGAAAGCGAAATTCCACACATTTGTATGAATGGATGATGAATATGCATGCAAGAAGGAACTTATATAAACACACACGGACATTCTTCAGGGCCTAAAGTGATCTGCTGAGTGTCCTGAACACCTGTTAGATCTCATTGGCTTCGGCTCCTTCCCTCCATCTCTTTACTGCTGCTATTCCCTGCCATCTTGGCACCTGACAAGGCCCTCCTCCTCAAGGCCTTTGCCCCACACTCACCCTGGAGCTTCCGCAGTAGATACACGGTGCACTTCTGCACGTTATTCAGGTCACTGCTCAAATGTCCTTGCTTCCGGGAGACTTTGCTTGACCAGCCTATCAAAATTAGCAGGCTCTCAGCCACCCCCTCTCCTTGCAGGCACTGCCTCTCTTAATGATACATAAGCTCCACCAAGGGCAAGGTGTCCCAGCACCGAGAATCATGCCCAACACGTAATAGCACTCAAAAACTACTGAGTGAAGGAGTGGCCATACTTCAGGAACAAGACTCAACTTTTGTCATTAACAGGACACACAGACACCATCCTTTGACCTTTGGACTTTAAAAGAAAAATTGTTGGATGCTCATATGTGAGAGACTGAGATGAACCCTTTTAGGATGGAACTGGCATGTCTCCCAGAGCTTATCTAGTTCTTGCATCCTAGCTGATCCATGTAACTCTAACTGGGCAGTCAGGAGGAGTGTCACAGAGGAGGGGGCCCTGGAACTGAGATTTGGAGATGACAGGTGCCATAAGAAAGGTGTGTAAGCAAAGTCCTCGGGTGGGACAGGGCACCTGCTGGAGCACATCATGTGATGGGGGTGGGAGACAGCAAGAGCCACGCAGTAAACAAGAGCCTGTGTAGCGAGCATTGCCCAATGCCTGCAGCATGTCTAAGTCATCAGGAAGTAGTGACTCTTAATAGCTATTTTGTTAACATGGGTCTTCTCGAGCATTTTTCAGCTGGCCCAGGCTCTGAACTTGAACTGCTTTGGTTCACGCCGCCCTGGAATTGAGGAAGGTCACCTTCCTCTGTCCATCTCTGCATGGAGCTAACAGTAGTGCCCACTTCATAAGGTTGTTGTGAAGATTAAATGAGAACAAGAAGTCATTCACAGACTGTGTGGCACACGGTCATTGGTCCGTAAACGATGCCCTTTTATTATCTCATTGAACCATTCTGACTTATGATCAACTACTTCTTATCATAGGGCTTATAAGCCAGAAAATCAATTCTACTCTGTTTGCTAGCCACCAAGCCTCTAATCTATAAAGAAAGAAAAACATGAACAAAAGCAGAAATAGGAAAGTATATGTTTCTGTTCACTTACACTGCCAATGTTCCAGTACCTGCTACATCTCAAGAACTGTGCACATCCTTACACATAAAGATAAATATGAAGGACTCTCGCCCTCCAAAAGTTTGCAGCCTGTGTTCTCTGTATCACAAATTTTAGATCTGTACATGTTAGCTCTCATTATTATTATAATTAGGTAATGGGAGTTTTCATCTTGATCAAGTGAGTAGCATGGCTTTCTAGAAAAATCGCTCTCACAACAATTTGAAGGGTAAGAAGGTACATAGTCATCGCTATACATTATATGAATGTATATATTATATATATACACGTTATACAGAATGAAGTTATGCAAACACACATATACATATTTCAGGGCCAACAAGGCCAACATGCTCTATGTCCTGAATACCCCTGAGATTGCATCTGCTTCCACTCTTTTTCTCCATTTATTTCTCTATTTCTTGCTATTCTTTAAACATGGAGAGCCACCTGCTCCTCAAGGTCTTTGTGCTTGCTCTGCCCTCGCCCTGGAGCATATATTTTATTCTAAGAGATGGAGCCACCTGGCACTCGGTCCTACTTATGTATTATGGAGGGAGGCAGGCGTTGAATGCATAGAGCAGGAGGACGGATTAGAGTGGGCAAAGGTTAGAGGCTGGAAAACCTGTAGGAGAGTTTGTACCAGTCCACGTGAGACAGGTGTTTAGTGTATGAACCAGGGCAGGGTGAGAACAGCTCTACCTGAGAAAGAATTTATGAAACCAAATCAATGGTTTCCTCAGTGGATATGGATGGCAAAGAAATAAGGAATTGGGATTGACTGTCTGCTTCTGGGTTGTTCCCCTGGATAAACATTGGTCATTCATCAAGATTGGAGAATACAGACTGGGGGGAAACAGTGGATTTCTAGGGAACCTTTGGCTGCTAATTGAGTCTGGAGTCAGGAAGGTGGTTTTGGAGCCCTAAGCATATAGTTCGCAGTTTAAGGTCAGAGTGTGGATGGTATTACTCAGCAGAAGAGTAGATGGAGGGAGAGAAAGGCCAAAGACAGTACCCTAGGAGACACATTAAATGGTCAAGCAGAAGAGGAGGAAGTAATTAAACCAGGTGCAAAGGCCTGAGGTACCACATCCTTCTCCACCTCATGGGATAAAGATGGGGATGATGGATTTTTGTCATGTTCACCTCAAAAGAAAATGCATTTTGTCTGGTAAAAGTAACTCAAAGAGAAGGTCAGGGGTCATAGGATAGGTCTCTAGGGAGGGGATATTTATATCTTTGTGGGTTTGTACATCTGATGAAGCTTTCTTGTCTAATGGGCCTCCATAGGTAGAACCATCCTCTTTTTCAGCTGAGCGCATCCTGAGAACCTGAGGACCACAGAGCTCTCTCTGCCCCCTCATGCCTGCCTTTGTCCTGGACAAGCTCAACTCAACACCACGCTTACCTAACCGGGTGGTTTTACACACATTCACACAAACACACACTCACAGTTACATACAAACATGCACATTTACAAACACTCACACACATTTAAAATCCAGTAAAGAATAAAGAATAATTACATGTAGAATGGTTTGGGGATTTGTATAAGAACCACCACCAACCCCTAACCCCCATCCCACGTGGATTCTCGAAGGTTTTCACAATCCTGGTTTACCACCGAGAATATAACTTCCTGGAAACACTTTGCATCTCCCTGTGAAATCTCATGTTATACCTGTTCCTTTAAGGACTTCTTCAATTACTTGTAAGTTTTTAAACTTTTACACGTAAATAACTCGAGTTTTAGGCCTGGAAGAAAGATTGGTAAATGGAAAATGTTGAGACACAACTGTTCACAATATATCCTTTCCCCCAGAGTAGGGACAGCACCCGAGCACTTCCTTCAGGGAACCCGACTGATGGTTGGGAGGCTTCCAGAAGGAATGCGTATTCTCTTCATATCAGGGAAGGCAGGTGAAGCAGAGAGAGCTCTTCCCTCTCCAAGCCTCCTCTCTCCTCTTGTGCCTCAGGTCCCCTGGAGCATGTACACCTGTCTCTTCCCTTCGTCACCACGAAGAACAAAGAGGTCAACGCGACTGCTGTGTTGTGGCCCAGCCAAGTGGGCACGCTCACTTACGTGTGGTGGTACGGAAATAACACCGAGGTGGGTCGGCCTTCCACGCGGGCTTTGTGCGGCTCCACGCAAACTGGCCAAAGTGCAAAAGGGAAAGAAAGTCATGGCTTATGTGACTCAAGAGACTAGAGGTTGTCGCAGCTCCGGGGACGGTGGGCTCCGAGTGCCCCAGTCATCTCGTCAGTCTCTGCCTCTCTCACCACTGTGCCCCTACCTCTTTTTTTTTTTTTTAATTTCTATCGGAGTATAGTGGATTTACAATGTTGTATTAGTTTCAGGTGTACAGCAAAGTGAATCAGTTATACGTACGTCCACTCTTTTTTAGATTCTTTTCCCATATAGGCCATTACAGAGTATCGAGTAGAATTCCCTGTGCTATACAGTAGGTCCTTACTAGTTATCTGTTTTATATATAGTACTGTGCATGCGTTACCTCTGCCTTCCTCTGAGTTAGCCTTCTCCTCCAGCTGGGCTTTGCTCTGCAGTGACCCTTAGCAGGAGCCTGAGCTTTGAGAGAAAACAAGCCGTCTTTCCCCAAAGTTCTAACAGAAGTCCCAGAACGGAGTAATGTCGGCCAGGCCTTGACCACGGTGCTGGGGACAGAAACAGAGCTGCTGAAGTCAGCCTCCCTAGATCCATCTAGACCAAGAGAAGGGAGGGAATGGCCCTCGAAAGGAAAAGAGGCCAGTGGACACCAGACAAGCAAGAGCCACAGATGCCTGTGCAACCCAGCTCCCCGCCGTGACCCCCTCACCCTGGATCAGATGCAGCCCCTTCTTTAGCTCAGCTTTCTGTTTCCCCCAAATATTCCCTGTGATCCAAAGTGGGCAGCAGTTTCAACACCAGTAGAAACCTTAGACCTCATTTACTCTGTCCTTCATTTTACAGATGAGAAAGTGAGGACAGGTGAAGTGGCTTCTTCCAATCTCATTCAGCTGCTTCACGCAGATCCAAGACCTTCTCAGCCCTGCCTGGGTTTTTCTTCCCCTCACGCCAGGCTTCATGCTCTGTTTCAGTTTGGAATTCACTCCATTCTCAGAAATTAAAATTTGCTTGCAAATGTTAGTTAAGGCAGTAGAACTCAGGCCCCGAAGCCTCCCTTCCCAGAGGGCCCTGCGACCAACTGCTCTGGACTGGAAAGCGTAATCTTCTTCCAGCAGAGCTGCTTTCACTTGTGACTTTGCTCTTCAAACGCAATGCATCTTATGTGAATACAAATCTTCTTCTACTTCAGAGCTGAGTGTTGGCTTTAACTGGAGCCATAATTTTGCACAAGCCTAGGGAGGAAACCTCTCCTGACACCCGACCTGCTGCATGCCTGATAGTCAAAGGAATCTCTCACCTCTACTGCTGACATAAATCAACTGAAAAGAAACTCTTTTTTATTTCTTATGAAACCATGCATGTAAATTGGGCCCAGAGTGGGCCCACTACCCATAGTAGAAGAAGAGAAATCTATTTATTTGCCTGAAAGCTAGTACTAGAAGTTGACAGTACTAAACAACTTCTTCTTTTTTGTTTTTTCTTAAGCTTTTAGAAGAAAACCAAATTCTCAACAGATTATGTTTAGCAGGCTTCTTTTTTTCAATTTTTTAAAACATCTTTATTGGAGTATAATTGCTTTTCATTGTTGTGATAGTTGCTGCTGTATAACAAAGTGAATCAGCTATACGTATACATATATCCCCATATCCCCTCCCTCTCGCATCTCCCTCCCACCCTCCCTATCCCACCCCTCTAGGTGGTCACAAAGCACCGAGCTGATCTCCCTGTGCTATGCGGCTGCTTCCCACTAGCTATCGACTCTACATTTGGTAGTGTGTATGTGTTCATGTCACTGTCTCACTTCGTCTCAGCTTACCCTTCCCCCTCCCCGTGTCCTCAAATCCATTCTCTACGTCTGCGTCTTTATTCCTGTCCTGCCTCTAGGTTCTTCAGAACCACTTTGTTTTTTTTGTTTTGTTTAGATTCCATGTATATGTGTTAGCATATGGTATTTGTTTTTCTCTTTCTGACTTACTTTACACTGTATGACAGTCTCTAGGTCCATCCACCTCACTACAGATAACTCAATTTCATTTCTTTTTATGGCTGAGTAATATTCCATTGTATATATGTGCCACCACTTCTTTATCCATTCATCTTTTGATGGACACTTAGGTTGCGTCCATGTCCTGGCTATTGTACATACTGCTGCAATGAACATTGTGGTACATGACTCTTTTTGAATTATGGTTTTCTCAGGGTATATGCCCAGTAGTGGGATTGCTGGGTCATATGGTACTTCTATTTTTAGTTTTTTAAGGAACCTCCATACTGTTCTCCATAGTGGCTGTATCAATTTACATTCCCACCAACAGTGCAAGAGGGTTCCCTTTTCTCCACACCCTCTTCAGCATTTATTGTTTGTAGATTTTTTGATGATGCCCATTCTAACTGGTGTGAGGTGATACACATTGTAGTTTTGATTTGCATTTCTCTAATGATGTTGAGCATTCTTTCATGTGTTTGTTGGCAATCTGTATATCTTCTTTGGAGAAATGTCTATTTAGGTCTTCTTCCCATTCTTGGATGCGGTACACAGGCCTCTCACTGTTGTGGCCTCTCCCGTTGCGGAGCACAGGCTCCAGATGCGCAGGCCCAGCGGCCATGGCTCATGGGCCCAGCTGCTCCATGGCATGTGGGATCCTCCCGGAGGGGAGCACGAATGCGTGTCCCCTGCATCGGCAGACAGACTCTCAACCACTGCGCCACCAGGGAAGCCCTGGGTTTGTTTTTTTGAGCTGCATGAGTTGCTTGCATATTATGGAGATTAATCCTTTGTCAGTTGCTTCATTTGCAAATATTTTCTCCCATTCTGAGAGCTGTCGTTTCATCTTGTTTATGGTTTCCTTTGCTGTGCAAAAGCTTTCAAATTTCATTAGGTCCCATTTGTTTATTTTTGTTTTTATTTCCATTTCTCTACGAGGTGGGTCTAAAAGTATCTTGCTGTGATTTATGTCACAGAGTGTTCTGCCTATGTTTTCCTCTAAGAGTTTTATAGCGTCTGGCCTTACATTTAGGTCTTTAATCCATTTTGAGTTTATTTTTGTGTATGGTGTTAGGGAATGTTCTAATTTCATTCTTTAACACGTAGCTGTCCGGTTTTCCCAGCACCACTTATTTGAAGAGGCTGTCTTTTCTTCATTGTATATTCTTGCCTCTTTTATCAAAGATAAGGTGACCGTATGTGTGTGCGTTTATCTCTGAGCTTTCTATCCTGTTGCATTGATCTATCTTTCTGTTTTTGTGCCAATACCATACTGTCTTGATTACTATACTATAGTATAGTCTGAAGTCAGGGAGTCTGATTCCTCCAGCTTCATTTTTTTTTATTTTTTATTTTTTATTTATTTATTTTTATTTTTGGCTGTGTTGGGTCTTCGTTTCTGTGCGAGGGCTTTCTCTAGTTGCGGCAAGCGGGGCCGCTCTTCATCGTGGTGTGCGGACCTCTCACTATCGTGGCCTCTCTTGTTGCGGAGCACAGGCTCCAGGCGCGCAGGCTCAGTAGTTAAGGCTCACAGGCCTAGTTGATCCGCGGCATGTGGGATCTTCCCAGGCCAGGGCTCGCACCCGTGTCCCCTGCGTTGGCAGGCAGATTCTCAACTACTGCACCACCAGGGAAGACCCTCCAGCTTCATTTTTCTTTCTCAAGATTGCTTTGGTTATTCGGGCTCTTTTGTGTTTCCATACAAATTGTGAAATTTTTTGCTCTAGTTCTGTGAAAAATGCCATTGGCAGTTTGATAGGGATTGCACTGAACCTATAGATTGCTTTGGGAAGTATAGTCATTTTCACAATGTTGATTCTTCCAATCCAAGAACATGGTACATCTCTCCATCTGTTCTGTCATCTATAATTTCTTTCATCAGTGTCTTACAGTTTTCTGCACACAGGTCTTTCGTCTCCTTAGGTAGGTTTATTCCTAGGTATTTTATTCTTTTTGTTACAGTGGTAAACGGGAGTGTTTCCTTAATTTCTCTTTCAGATTTCTCATCATTAGTGTACAGCAATGCAAGAGATTTCTGTGCATTCATTTTGTATCCTGCTACTTTACCAAATTCATTGATTAGCTCTAGTAGTTTTCTGGTAGCATCTTTAGGATTCTCTATGTATAGTATCATGTCATCTGCAAACAGTGACAGTTTTATGTCTTCTTTTCCGATTTGGATTCCTTTTATTTCTTTTCTCCAATTGCTGTTGAATAATAGTGGTGAGAGTGGGCACCCTTGTCTTGTTCCTCGTCTTAGTGGAAATGGTTTCAGCTTTTCACCATTGAGAATGATGTTGGCTGTGGGTTTGTAATATATGGCCTCTATTATGTTGAGGTAAGTTCCCTCTATGCTTACTTTCTGGAGAGTTTTTATCATAAATTGGTGTTGAATTTTGTCAAAAGCTTTTTCTGCCTCTGTTGAGATGATCATATGGTTTTTATCCTTCAATTTGTTAATATGGGGTATCATATTGATTGATTTGTGTATATCGAAGATTCCTTGCATTCCTGGAATAAACCCCACTTGATCATGGTGTATGATCCTTTTAATGTGCTCTTGGATTCTGTTTGCTAGTATTTTGTTGAGAATTTTTACATCTATGTTCATCAGTGATATTGGCCTCTATTTTCCTTTTTTGGTAACATCTTTGTTTGGTTTTGGCATCAGGGTGATGGTGGCCTTGTAGAATGAGTTTGGAAGTGTTACTCCCTCTGCTATATTTTGGAAGATTTTGAGAAGGATAGGCGTTAGCTCTTCTCTAAATGTTAGACAGAATTTGCCTGTGAATCCATCTGGTCCCTGGCTTTTGTTTTTTGGATGATTTTTAATCACAGTTTCAACTTCAGTGCTTGTGATTGGTCTGTTTATATTTTCTATTTCTTCCTGGCTCAGTCTCGGAAGGTTGTACTCTTCTAAGAATTTGTCCATTTCTTCCAGGTTGTCCATTTTATTGGCATAGAGTTGCTTGTAGTAATCTCTCATGATCCTTTGTATTTCTGCAGTGTCAGTTGTTACTTCTCCTTTTTCATTTCTAATTCTATTGACTTGAGTCTTCTCCCTTTTTTTCTTGATGAGTCTGGCTAATGGTTTATTGATTTTGTTCATCTTCTCAAAGAACCAACTTTTAGTTTAATTGATCTTTGCTATCATTTCCTTCATTGCTTTTTCATTTATTTCTGATCTGATATTTATGATTTCTTTCCTTCTGCTAACTTTGGGGTATTTTTGATATCCTTTCTCTAATTGCTTTAGGTGTAAGGTTAGGTAGTTTATTAGAAATGTTTCTTGTTTCTTGAGGTAGGCTTGTACTGCTACAAACTTCCCTCTTAGAACTGCTTTTGCTGCATCCCATAGGTTTTGGGTCATCATGTTTTCATTGTCATTTGTTTCTAGGTATTTTTTGATTTCCTCTTTGATTTCTTCAGTGATCTCTTGGTTATTTAGTAGTTTATTGTTTAGCCTACGTGTGTTTGTACTTTTTACAGATTTTTTCCTGTAATTGATATCTAGTCTCATAGTGTTGTGGTCAGAAAAGATACTTGATGCAATTTCAATTTTCTTAAATTTATCAAGGCTTGATTTGTGACCTGAGATATGATCTCTCCTGGAGAATTTTCCATGAGCACTTGAGAAGAAAGTGTATTCTGTTGTTTTTGGATGGAATGTCCTATAAATATCAATTAAGTCCATCTTGTTTAATGTATCATTTAAAGCTTGTGTTTCCTTATTTATTTTCATTTGGATGATCTGTCCATTGGTGAAAGTGGGGTGTTAAAGTCCCCTACTATTATTGTGTTACTGTCGATTTCCCCTTTTATGGCTCTTAGCATTTGCCCTATATACTGAGGTGCTCCGATGTTGGGTACATAAATATTTACAATTGTTATATCTTCTTCTTGGATTGATCCCTTGATCATTATGTCATGTTCTTCTTTGTCTCTTGTAATAGTCTTTATTTTAAAGTCTATTTTGTCTGATGTAAGAATTGCTACTCCAGCTTTCTTTTGATTTCCATTTGCATGGAATATCTTTTTCCAATCCCTCACTTTCAGTCTGTATGTGTCCCTAGGTCTGAAGTGGGTCTCTTGTGGACAGCATATATTCGGGTCCTGTTTTCGGGTCCCATTCAGCCAGTCTATGTCTTTTGGTTGGAACATTTAATCCATTTACATTTAAGGTAATTATCAATATGTATGTTCCTATAACCATTTTCTTAATTGTTTTGGGTTTGTTATTGGAGGTCTTTTCTTTCTCTTGTGTTTCCTGCCTATAGAAGTTCCTTTAGTATATGTTGTGAAGCTGGTTTGGCAGTGCTGAATTCTCTTAGCTTGTGCTTGTCTGTAAAGGTTTTAATTTCTCTCTCAAATCTGAATGACATCCTTGCTGGGTAGAGTAATGTAGTTTTTAGGTTTTTCCCTTTCATCACTTTAAATATGTCCTGCCACTCCCTTCTGGCTTGCAGAGTTTCTACTGAAAGTTCAGCTGTTAACATTATGGTGATTCCCTTGTATGTTATATGTTGCTTTTCCCTTGCTGCTTTCAGTATTTTTTCTTTGTATTTAATTTTTGATAGTTTGATTAATATGTGTCTTGGCGTGTTTCTCCTTGGATTTATCATGTATGGGACTCTTTGTACTTCCTGGACTTGATCTACTATTTCCTTTCCCATATTAGGGAAGTTTTCGACTATAATCTCTTCAAATATTTTCTCATACCCTTTTTTTTCTCTTCTTCTTCTGGGACCCCTATAATTCAAATGTTGGTGCATTTAATGTTGTCCCAGAGGTCTCTGAGACTGTCCTCAATTCTTTTCATTGTTTTCTCTTTATCCTGCTCTGTGGTAGTTATTTGCACGATTTTATCTTCCAGGTCACTTATCCATTCTTCTGCCTCAGTTATTCTGCTATTGATTCCTTCTAGACAATTTTTAATTTCATTTATTGTGCTGTTCATCATTGTTTGTTTGCTCTTTAGTTCTTCTTGGTCCTTGTTAAACGTTTCTTTTATTTTCTCCATTTTTTTCCAAGATTTTGGATCATGTTTACTATCATTACTCTGACTTCTTTTTCAGGTAGACTGCCTATTTCCTCTTCATTTGTTTGTTCTAGTGGGTTTTTACTTTGCTCCTTTATCTGCTGCGTTTTTCTGTTTATTCATTTTGCTTAACTTACTGTGTTTTGGGTCTCCTTTTCTCAGGCTGCAGGTTCATATTTCCCGTTGTTTTTGGTGTCTGCCCCCAGTGGCTAAGGTTGGTTCAGTGGGTTGTGTAGGCTTCCTGGTGGAAGGGACTGGTGCCTGTGTTGTGGTGGATGAGGCTGGATCTTGTCTTTCTGATGGGCAGCACTGCATCTGGTGGTGTGTTTTGGGGTGTCTGTGAACTTAGTATGATTTTAGACACCCTCTCTGCTAATGGGTGGGGTTGTGTTCCTGTCTTGCTAGTTGTTTAGCATGGGGTGTCCAGCACTGTAGCTTGCTGGTCATTGAGTGGAGCTAGGTCTTAGCAGTGAGGCGGAGATCTCTTGGAGAACTCTTGCCAATTGATGTTACATGGAGCCAGGAGGTCTCTGGTGGTCCAGTGTCCTGAACTCGGCTCTCCCACCTCAGAGGCTCAGGCCTGACACCCGGCCAGAGCACCACGACCCTGTCAGCCACGTGGCTCAGATTTCTAAGGGTTTTCCTTTCCTCGGACGGAAGTTTCCAACTTCTTTCAACCATATACATGGCCCCTTGAGTCACTGCTTTTTCACCACCTCTGGAGGTGGTGGGTAAGTTCACTCCAATCTTCCATCCATAGCTTGCATGTTAAGAACTTTCAGACTCTTGCCTATGTTCTGAAACTGCCTGGAGTTGCGTTGCATTGGACATAGAGCCCAGACTCAAGTAGAATTTTTATGCTGAGCTTTAGTCTACCCTCTGCTACACAGGGAGTTAAATGAATTTTGATTTGTAAATTAATTAAGGAAAGACAGGAATGAAATGTTTGTGGGGAGTTAGTCGAGGGAGGTCAGTAGGCTAATAATCTTTTTCCTCTAGGACCCTGGTATCTAATTGCATTACAGGCACTGCTCCAGGTCTTTCTTTTTCTTTTTTGAGTCCTCAAACCACTGTCCAATTAGTACATGTTTCCATAGCAGCTCCTTCCAGGAAACTGCTTATAGGGCTTCTCAGAGGAAGCCGAGCCACACAGGGCCACACCTGTCTAACTAGTGTAGTTTGGTGTCCATAGTTGCTGTGTTCCACTGTAATTTTATATACATAGTACACCCTTTAGAGGAGCACTGGCACCTTGTAGACTTTCAGTGACTACTGCTTAAATCTGGATTAATATGAACTCCCTCTTTAATATTGCCTCAGATTAAGGGATTTGCTTGATACAAGTAGGTTATCAACAAAGAGAGATACGTCCCACCAGCAAGCAAGACCCATGGATCTCCCCAGCCCTGAATCAGGATGTTAACAGAAAGGAGGTGTCAAATTCACAAAGAATGAATAGAGTTTCTTGGCATCATGTCTCTAATAGTCCCTTTCTGGCTTGAACTTGAGGTGATGGGGAGGCATAGGTGGAGTCAGTCACACGGGGATGCCCCAGAAAGAGCTTCCGCTGATTTAAAGAGCTTGTCAGTGGCTCAGAGCTGGTGCCTATCTCATCTGTAATTGAACAGCTGTCCCTTCACTCTGTGGCCTCATTTGTTTTAGCCCCTGATCACCTTGGAGGGAAGCATATCATTCAAGTTTACTTCCGAAGGGATGAACACCATCACAGTGCAAGTCTCAGCTGGGAATGCCATCCTGCAGGACACGAAGACCATCGCGGTGTACGGTGAGTGGTCCATCTGCTAATCCATCACTGCCCTCATCCATCCCTCAGATGAGGTGGTTTGGTACCTTGGTGCCGGAAGCCATCCTGGCTTATGAATCTTCCCAGGGAACAGAGGGTAGTGGTTGAGAAAGAGCTGAGTCAAGTCTCATCTCCTCCTCTGGGGAAGATACGGTTCACCAGCAACATAGTGGTCACAAAACCGCAAGAGGGTTTATTGCTTTTTTTTTCAAACTGGCTTTGGTGCTCATAGAACGACTGTACGCCCACCTACCTTAGGTAGAGAAGAGTGAGTTTCATTATGTGTAAGGCTGATTCATTCCATTTGGTATTTTGGTGGTATTCAAAGAGCTAAAACCTATTATAAAAAAAAAGTGGTTAATATTGAGGCTTTTATTTTTAAAGTTCAACTTCAAGAGTCTTGATCATTAAGAAGAATCTGCCAATGTCTAAATGCTCTGAAAAGCTCTTCTGCAAATATGTATCATTTATAAAACGCTCTGCTAGTCTAAAAGTGAAGAAAGGGTCATAACAAGCACATGTGCATCATTGTAGACTAGATATTAGTTTGAACAAACAGCTGTACAGAACAATGTGGTAATCAATTGGGGAAATTGAATGTGGTCAAGGTGTTACATGGAATGAAAATTTACTGAAATGGAAAGGTGGAAACCTTGGTGGAAAACAGTTTATACAAATTGATCTCATTTTGGTAATTTTTTTCTGCATGGAAAGATAGTCAGATGGATCTGCACTAAGCGCTTTAGTAGATGGTAAAAATATGAACTTTTATTGTTAATATGAAAGCGGTACTAATGCATCCTGGAAAATTAAAATTTAAAAAGCAAGAATTTAAAAGGAGATAGATAGGGAAATAAATGCTGTGCAGAGAGAGGGCAAGAGAGAGGCTCAAGGGAGGGAGGGAGGGAAGGTGAGATAGAGGTTGAGAGGGATGGAGAGACAGAGACAAAGACACACTAGCTCGTGGTCCAAACAATATCAGTTGTTCCAGTTCCAGAATTAATTGATTCTGATGCAGGTTCTGTTTTTCGTTTCTCGTCTTGCTAACTTGACCTTCAAATTCAGAAAGTAATTGGTAAGCAGCTTTGAATATGTCTGAGGACACTCTTCCTCTTGCATGGCTGCCTGTTAGATTATATAATGTTTCCTCCCTCTCCCCTTCCTGAAGAGACTTGATAAGCCCCAGCAGTAAGTGAAAGTAAACCAGGGCTGTGGTTTTCCTACAAGGTCCCATCAGTGAGGCGACCTCTGAGCCAGGTGGCCCTAATGGAGGAGAGCTTTTGTTTCTCTTTCCTCTCCATCTCCTTTCTATGCTCTGGAAATGCATTTAATTCTCCTAACAATCGTAGTGCAGGGTAGCCAATATTATGACTCTCATTTTTTTCAGAGAGGTAAATAACTTGCCCCAGCTAGTAAGTGGTGGAGCTGAGCTTCTAACCCACCCCTTCTAGACCCAGGGCCCATGCTCCAAAATTACCCTACGTGATTGGCTCTCATGTCTTTTCCATCGGATGCTTTCTTTCCTCTCTCCCTCCTGGATTTCACCAGTGTCACTGATGGACACTGACCCATTAGTCCAACAGCTATCTCCTCATTAGAACCACAGACAGAACTTTAAATCTAGAAGGTCTTTGGACTTACCTAGTCCAATCCATTATTTCACAGTTAGGAAATTGTGGCCTCAAAATGGGAAGCTACTGGCTTAAAGTCATTCTGCTATTCAGTAACAGATCTAATGATAATAATAATGATGATGATGGTAGTGGTAGAAATTAATGTTGATGGATCCTTTATCAGCATCTGTTCTAAGCAGTTGATATATATGATCTGTTTTATTGAATCCTCTGAACAGACTTATGAGAAATATGCTATGATTATCCCTGTTATACAAGTGACAAAATATGGAGATAAGTATAATCTGAATAATCTGATAAGTATAATTCTGAATCTAGTTTCATGGAAACCTTCTATCCCTTGCTATGCTTAGTTCTTCCTCTTCCTAAAATCCTTCTAAAGGCATCATCGAGAGTGGGTCATTCTCCATCATATGGGTTCTCTTCATTAAAAAGCATTTCTTAACTAAAAGTTTGAGCAGGGAGAGTGGTCTCTCCCTCCTCTAACCAAATTCCTGAGCCATCCAACATCTTAATTCATCTTCAGTCAGGTGGGTTGTACAGAGTTTCATATATATAACTAGAAAATTCTAAGGACAGGCATGACCTATTAAAGGAAAATTGCATCACAGGGTGTTAAACAGGCAAGATTGAATTCAACAGAAACAAATGGCAGGAATAGTTTTAAACTCTGGGATAAGCTAAAGGACTCTGCGGGGAGGGGATTATCGGTGTGGTTAAGCCACAGGTGCTTGCTAATTGGTGCTTAGGGAACTTAGGCTCCTACCCTCCCAGAGGCAGGGGTGCTATCTTTCCTTTCTTTATATATATATATATATCTTTATTGGAGTATAATTGCTTTACAATGTTGTGTTAGTTTCTGTAGTACAACAAAGTGAATCAGCTATACGTATACATAGATCCCCATATCCCCTCCCTCTTGCGTCTCCCTCCCACCCTCCCTATCCCACCCCTCTAGGTGGTCACAAAGCATCGAGCTGATCTCCCTGTGCTATGCATCTGCTTCCCACTGGCCATCCATTTTACATTTGGTAGTGTGTATAGATGTCAATGCTACTCTCTCACTTCGTCCCAGCTTCCCCTTCCCACCCTGTGTCCATTCTCTACATCTGCATCTTTATTCCTGCCCTGTAGGAATAAAGGTTCATTAGTACCGTATTTTTAGATTCCACATATGTGCATTAGCATCCGGTATTTGTTTTTCTCTTTCTGACTCTTCACTTGGTATGACAGACTCTAGGTCCATCCACCTCATTACAAATAACTGAATTTCGTTCCTTTTTATGGCTGAGTAATATTCCACATCTTCTTTGTTGGTTCATCTGTCGATGGACATTTAGGTTGCTTCCACGTCCTGGCGATTGTAAATAGTGCTACAATGAACATTGTGGTACATGTATCTTTTTTTTTTTTTTTTTTTTTGGGTCGCGGGCCTGTCACTGTTGTGGCCTCTCCCGTTGCGGAGCACAGGCTCCGGACGCGCAGGCTCAGCGGCCATGGCTCACAGGCCCAGCCGCTCCACGGCATGTGGGATCTTCCCGGGCCGGGGCACGAACCCGTGTCCCCTGCATCGGCAGGCGGACTCTCAACCACTGCGCCACCAGGGAAGCCCCTATCTTTTAGAGTTATAGTTTTCTCAGGGTATATGCCCAGTAGTGGGATTGCTGGGTCATATGGTAGTTCTATTTTTAGTTTTTTAAGGAGTCTCCATACTGTTCTCCATAGTGGCTGAATTAATCTACATTCCCACCAACAGTGCAGGAGGGTTCCCTTTTCTCCATACCCTCTGCAGCATTTATTGTTTGTAGATTTTTTGATGATGGTCATTCTGACCAGTGTGAGGTGATACCTCATTGTGGTTTTGATTTGCATTTTACTGATAATTAGTGATGTTGAGCATCTTTTCATGTGTTTGTTGGCAATCTGTATGTCCATTTCAGAGATGGCTTCCAGGTCCTTGAGAAAGGCATTCCTGGATTGCAGAAGATTTACATCTCAAAGGTGCAGAGGAAGAATTTACAATTGCAAGTTTCTAAAGTAGACGCTCTGAGAAAAGGGAGGTCAGAGCCTGAAGTCCCGAAGAAACCTGTCTAAAGGTTAATTAAGCTGAGGGAAAGTTAAGACCATTATGGTCAGACTGAAGGAGGTATCATATTTGGGAAGCCGACAGAGGAAAGATTGTCTGCCCAAAGCCACACAAGAGACTGGAGACAAGAAAATTTAGTTTGCATGGTTTTCCTTAATTTGCTTCAGGGCTCAGGTTTGCCTTTAAATACAAAAAATAAAATGTAAATGTATAGAATTCATCTCTCAACAGCTGCAAAAAATACATATATTACTGGTGTTTACCCTTTTCAGTCCTCCCATACGCATCCCCTATTTGTTGAATAAACTTAGGCATAACATTTCTCTGCACTGCTGTTTAGCATGCTAAGGAATTACAAAGGGAGCTGCACCATTTTTCTCATTTGTGTCTTTTTATTAAGAAAAACATCTTCTTTTGAGATGAAGTCTCCACAGTTTGGTTAAGAGGTTTGGGGAAAGTGAAAATGACATACACATACATCTTCAAAGTTAGGACTCAGTGGGTGATTCCTTGGGCTGCCATTTACCATACTACTAATTAGTATGCATTTCATTCTTCTCCATCAGAACTGAAATGGGATATTCACCTAGGTGGCCAGTGACTCATAAAATAGTCAAACTTCGAGAAATACATGTTTGGAATAAGCTGGCTGCCGTAAGTACAGGCCTGATCATGTAAGAGTCTTCAGTGCCTGCGCCTAATAAATCTTTAGCAGTGTTAGGAAACGCACGAGTGGGTTTTTGTGTTTCCTGAACGTGTCATTGGCATTGCCGATGTTGCTAAACCCCTCGTGAAACACCAGAACATGCCTAAAACAAGAAAGAAATGTTTGTTGAATAATAAAATGCATAAATTACAGAGAGCCTCCACTGATATTTATGCATTTATTTATTCAACAAACTTATTAATTAAACGACTCCTAGTCATTGAAGATCTAACATGAACTGGGCACTGTCCCAAAGGGCCAGGAACACAGTGTCCCCATCCTCATTGAACTAATATTCTTTTGTGGGAGACAGACAGTAAAAAACCAAATTATTTATTTATTTGTATTTTTATTGGAGTATAGTTGATTTACAGTGTTGTGTTAGTTTCAGGTGTACAGCCAAGTGAATCAGTTTTATATATATATATATATCTCCACTCTTTTTTAGATTCTTTTCCCATATAGGTCATTACAGAATATTGAGTAAAGTTCCCTGTGCCAGACAGTAGGTCCTTATTAGTTATCTATTGTATATATAGTAGTTTGTGTAGGTCAATCCCAATCTCCCAATTTGTCCCTCCCCTGCTTACCCCCCAAAACAAAATAATTTTAAAGGCAAGAAGAATAAAGAAGACAAATAGGGTCATATGGTGAAAGGTGTTAGAGTTGGTGAAAGGGAGGATACCTGAGGTTGCTGGTGGGAGGGGTTTTTCCCAGGAGAGACTGGAGGCTGAAAAGGAGCCGAGAAGGCTGTCATCTGGGACTTGGAGGTGCGCTAACATGGGAAGGAACACGGCATATTGAGGAACACAGGGAAGGACGGGGTCGTGGAGTGCAGGGCAGCCTCAGGGTCATAAGACAGGAGGGAAGGTCGGCACTGGATTGTGTGAGACTATGAAGGCCATGATATGAATCTGAATCTTATTCAAAATACAATGTGGAGCCTCCAGCAGATTTCAGGGGAGCGATGTGATCTGAGTATACCATGTGCTAAGACTCCCCAGGGCTGTGCTCTGAAACTCATCATCGTGCTAGGGCCAAGGCCATGCCAGCCAGCCAGTGACTGAGTGCGGCAGGAATACTAGGGTGAACCCATTCCTGGGACGTGGGGCTCCTCTGGCTGACTTTGGCTCGTGGACTTCCCATCAGCCTCGCTGAACCTTCCTCCCGCTCTTGCACTAAGTGTCATGTATGCATCAGGGTCTGGCGGTGCTTCAGGCTCCTCTGACTCCCTCCCCATATTCTCTTACAGACAAGAGAATTCTTTTATTTCTGCACAAAATCCTTGCTTTTATAATTCCATCTACTTCCTGGATGCCCAAGGTTAACTCAGGGGCTACTGTGCCAACTAACAAAACCCTTGAATTAAAGACCTGAAAGTTCCTTTAAATGAAACTTCCATGCAAACAGAATTTAGCAGTAGAATGACTACAATGATGACTATAATTATATAATCATATAATAATTATTATGATGTAATGATAATGAAGGTATGTGCCCAACACAGTTGTACCAGAAGAAAGGAAATCAAAATATGGTGGGGGAGGTTATTCAGTCAGTAAATGCTTGAACTAGAGCTTGAATGTTGTGTGCATAGAAGGTGAGAAGGATGGGGCATTCTAGGCAAGGGGCAGTGTGTGCAAAAAGGCCCAGAGACATAAACCTGCGATGCTGTCAGGGCACTTCAGGTGTGCACAGTGTCCAGGAGTGCAGGGGCTAGAACTGGGAACAATGCACAAGGCTGTGGAGCTAAGCATGGGCCACAGACCAGGGCTTTGGTCTGGAAAAGGAGCTGAGAGGTAAGAGGGATGGGATATTGAACTTGCCTTGTAGTAAGGTCTCTCTGTTGAGTATGAAGGAAAAGGACCCTCCATTAGGGCTTTGCATAAAATATAAAGTACAACAGGCTTCTTGAGAGACCTATCTGACTTATAGTAATCCCCCTACTGTTGTATTTCCAGAGGAATTCCGATCTCTTCGCCTGGCCTTTTCTCCAAACCTGGACGACTACAACCCGGACATCCCTGAGTGGAGGAGAGACATCAGCCGAGTCATCAAAAAGTCCCTGGTGGAGGTGAGTGCAAACAGCTCCTCTGGCCCAGACCCTTTTCCTCTCTGTCTTTACCGAGCTTCATGGAGAGGGGACCCTTGCTCAAATAAATGGCAGGAAAGAGCCGGAGGCCAGGGGAAGTGGGTATCATCTGTCTGATACCTGCAAAGCTGAGCCCCATATGTGCAGACACGTCACAGGTGCTATGGGGGGAAATGAAATTGAGTAATCAGGGGGTCCTTACCCCTTGTGAAACGCTTGTTCTGCTTAGAGACGACGACCCTGGAAATATGTGACAGTCACGTGGCAGAGTTCATGATTAGCCATTGGTACATGTAAAAATCAGCTCCTGGGCATCGTACTGGCACAGCATGGATACAATTGGTCAGAGCAGCTGGGTTCCAGCTTCACGAATGTCCAGTGCAACAGCACAGTGAACACTCAGCACACGAGGGTAGTCATCTCACTATGTCCCAGTTCTTTTAACGGCATTTCTCTCCCACGACAGCCCGAAGAGGAAAGTATTATTGGGAGTTCCCTGGTGGTCTGATGGTTAGGATTCAGCGCTTTCACTTACATGGCCCAGGTTCGTTTCCTGGTTGGGGAACTGAGATCCTGCAAGCCATGCAGCACGGCCAAAAAAAAAAAGGGGGGGGGGGGACCTAAAAGATGCTTAAAAAAAGAGAAAGTATTATTGTCTTCATTTGCAGATTAGGCAGTTGAGGTGCAGAGAAGTTAAATAACTTGTCTAAAGCCTCACAGCTAATAAGTGACAGAGCTACAAAACTGAAGTGAAGGATGTGAATCCCGTGTCTGGGTTTTCACACGTGAAGCACAGCCCCATCCAGTTCCTGGGAGAGTAACAAGGTGGTGTGGTTCATCCCTCTCCGAGCAAAGGTCACCTACAATTTGACAGGACACCCTCTTCTAGGCACATTCCCCCCTGCATACTCCACTTCCATGAACAGTCAGAGGAATGGGATATCTGCTCGCGGAGCTGCTTGGATTTATTGCACAAACCCAGAAAATCAGAGATGACTTTTCCCTAAAGTCTATTCTTAGCACGAAAGAAAAGTCAATTTAGGATTAGTTATACATTCTTTCCTGCACCCAACACATGCTGTCTCATGACCCAAAGGGATAAGGAGAGACAAAGGCATTCAGGTAACCCCTGCTCAGAAAACAGATCTCGCATCCAGCCTTTTGGCAAAGAGCTGGCCTTCTCCGTATTCATACCATTATCTTTGTTGATATTTACTTAGCACTTACAATATTCCAGAAACTCTTCTCAGTGTTTTGCATTTTTAAACACATTTAATCACAAAACCCCTAGCTTATGATGTAGATAGAATAATTATTCCCACTTTACAAGTGAGAAAACTGAATTTAGAGGCAGATAACTTGCCCAATGCTGTATAGTTTAAAATCAGGCTCTGGAGTCAGACCATCAAGGTTTGAATCTTGATTACCACTCCACTCTGCTGCTATCCTTTGTCTTGTTACATAGAGAGACAGGAATGATGGAATAGTGGGGTGGAGAAGAGTTATCTTCTGTGCCTCTGGGTAAATGCCATCTCACCTTTATCTTTCTTAATGACTCTTAGCATCCATGATGTTATCGGTGGCTAAACATTATGGCCACCAGGGGCTGCAGCTACCAGACCACAGGCCCAACTGGAACAGGCCCTTTTGCCTTTGGAGCTGTTTGTCCCTGGTGTGACAAGAGAAAATTGTCACGGAAATTTGACAAGGAAATCATGGACTCCTCTGCTGTCCAAGAGAGATGACTTACACCCTTCAGTGAACCCACAGCTCACCTCCTTTAGTCTACGGCATTCTAGAGATCCATGTCCCTGTAGATCTCCGAGGCAGCTATCCAACACCCCCAGGTGATTTATCAACCAGGCATTAGCTCAGCAGTGATGTTTTCCAGGCTGATTTCTCTTCCCATTAATTGTCTAGGGATCAGATGCCCCGAGCCTCCACCTTTCCACCAGCTGTCCAGTAGGCTAGAAATGACTGTTCATTAATATTTCTAGGCCACTGCATAGCATAATCAGCTAAATGGAGAACAAACAGTTTGGCTCAACATCCCTCAGGATAAGGGGTGATGGAGTGGAGGGAGCTTTAAAGGCTCCTTTGTTACCCACTCCTAAGAGGCAGCTGAGCCAGCCCTGGTTCCTAGCGCCCCACCCTATCTTTGAGATCAGTAATTACACTTGGCCACTTCTTTAAGTTCTGAAGTACCCTATTGCCAAGTGTCCCCTAATAAGCTCTATAAGAGGTACAGCCGGCAGTCAACTTATTTATAGTTTTCTTCCTATTCATTCTGTAACAGAATTTGATATAAAATCAACTGCGTTTTCCTCATTGGTTGGGATTTTTCTTTTGACATTTTGCAATGGAATCTTTAATTGAATGTCATTCAGTAAACAGTTTTGTTGATAACGAGGATAGTTTAGACATAAGCTTTGAGTTTAAAATCTAGGACGGGGCTTCCCTGGTGGCGCAGTGGCTGAGAGTCCGCTTGCCAATGCAGGAGACACGGGTTTGTGCCCCGGTCCGGGAAGATCCCACATGCCGCGGAGTGGCTGGACCCGTGAGCCATGGCCACTGAGCCTACGCGTCCGGAGCCTGTGCTCCACAACGGGAGAGGCCACAACAGTGAGAGGCCCGCGTACCACAAAAAAAAAAAAAAAAAATCTAGGACGGCCGTAAAACAGTATGATATCAGCCAGGATAGGAGCTGCTTTGTGATAAGTGTCAGGAGAAGGAAGGCAGGAGAGCGCTGGTTCAGGACAGAGGCATTATGGTCTGACCAAGGTTCCAAACTAAGTGTCACCACTCATTACCTAGATGACCCTGAGCCAATGTTGAACTTTCCTCCATCTACTGTCTGTCCTGTAGCAGAAATAGGGATGCCCCTCCCAGATCCCCATTCAGGGAAAGACTGTTATCTTAGCTGCTGGGAGTGCTGTGGGCAGAGGCTTCAGCGGCCTTCCCCATGTCATGTCCCTTTTGGAGTGGCTCATGTCCAATGACGCGGTTGTATAAAGGCCTGGCCACTCAGCTCAACCTCAGACAAGTCTGAAGGGCCATTCTCACTCCTTACAGGATCTTCTGAGGCTGTTGTTGGCCTTTATCACAGCTCAGCTTCTCCCTCTGTCCATTCCTGCTTCCCGGCCTTCGCTCCTATAGATGTTGATTCCAAGAATGTCCCCTAATAAACATCCTACGCACTAAACTCAGAGCCAGCTTCCTGAAGACTCCCAACCCGTGACCTGTCTTCACCTGTACAGAGAGGCATAATAACACCTGCTCCAAAGAGTCGCTGTGGGGTGTCGCATTACATTATATTAAGAAGTTGCTTAGCACAATGCCAGACACATGGTAAGGACCCAATAAATGGAATTTCCTGCTACTTTGAAAAAAATATAAATGTAGATTTCAGAAACCAACAATCATCTAATTGGGAAATCATGAAAAATACTCTGAAATAAGTGAACTTTACGAGGGCTCATGAAGGAGAAGTAATGTTCTAGCAGCAAATGTATAGAAAAGACATTCTGGGGGAGATGGCATGCACAAAAACATTTGCAAGAAAAGGCTGGAATACTGAGAAATTGTACATGAGTCTATTTGGCTAAGCGTAAGATGACATTATGAGTTGTGGGTAATTAGTTTAGGAAGGAAAGGTGGGACCATATTGCAGGCTTTGAATATATATTTAACCCAGTTGGCAGTGGAAATTTGTGCATGAATTTGGACATGGAAACACAATCTGCGTTGGACTGTAGGAAGATAAATCTGGAAGTAGTAGCCTGTCTCCTGGAGATGCGAAGGCTGTTGTAAAACTTGAAGGGAGAAAGTGTAAAGGCTGAATTGAGATATTAACGGGGGGGCATTTAAACAGGAAGGAACCAATAGGATCGTTCGTGTGGAGGGTGACTTGTCAAGATCTCATAGACTGATTAGATAGGACATGGAAAGGAGAGTGTGGTGCTGGAGATGAGATAGGCCTCCCAGCTAGGGTATCTGGGAAAGGAGTGGCTCCGGTCATCCACGCGCAGAATGAAGATTTCCAGGGTGAATATGAGAAGTTCTCATAAAACAACCAAATGACGTTCTGACTTGGCCGCTGGAGAAAGAAGCCAGGATTGTAGCCGTGGATTCTAGAACCATCTAGAGAGTGGGCTCAGGAAAGAGGAAGTTCTTGAGTGAGTGATATCTATGATTTTAATAGAAGATTCCGTACAGCAGAGTGAAGGGCTGAGAATGCTTCCTGGAACGGGCTGGTCATCAGGGTCTGACGCTGTGGAGAACTCAGCAGACGCCTGGGGGCTGTGGTCTGGGGTTAGGTTAGGTGATGGAGGTATGCCTGGTCAGTCTGGAGGATAAGTCTAATGCTTCGAGGAAGAAGGAAGCTAGGTTAGAAAGTGTTAAGGCATGAGGGGCAGAAGATAAAGCTCAGTAAGTGACGGCCTTCTCACTGGCAAGGTCCACTTACTTATACAAGACAGGTACTGCTATTATTCCCACTTTTTAACTGGAGGAGATGCAAAGTGTTTCAGGTCTCACGGGGATGGAACTGGGATCAGACCTCAGAGTCTGACTTGTATCCAGTGGTGTCTCTCACATCCCTCCCCAACTGGTGCACCCAGGACCCTACTTTCCCACCCTACCTCCACACCTTTGTGTCTTCTTCCCCCCCCAACTCTCTGCTGAACACTTGGTCCCTTTTCATCAGCTTTCCTGCAGGACTCACATGCGCCTCTGTGTCTCTCCCTCAGGCCACCGCGGTTCCGGGCCAGCACATCTTGGTGGCGGTGCTCCCTGGCTTACCCACCGCTGCTGAGCTCTTTGTCTTGCCGTATCAGGATCCCACAGGAGAAAACAAAAGGTCAGCCGAGGACCTGGAGCAGGTGAGTCCTCAGGTGACATTTCAGCTTCTCCCAGCAGTCTGAGCCACAACCTTGCTAGTGTCTGACCACGACAGCAGCTCTGGGGGATCTCCACTTGGGAGCAAGGGTGCCAGCTGTCTGTGGAGTCTTCCACTTTCCTGTCCTCTGTTGAGGAACATAATCTGGTGATTTAACTACAGCTTCACCAAAAACTATGTGCAAGAGTGTGTATTGTCAGCAGTGGCTAAATCACTCAGAGTATATCCCACGCTGTGGGATACTCTACAGTGTTTACGATGAATGAGATAAATCTTTGTGTACTGATGTGACAAACTGTCCAAGATATTAGGTGGGGGAAAGAAGCAAGAGGCTACACAAGACATAGAAGTCAAATCCATTTATATCTTACCTCACACACTTACATCATAGGAGTACCATGAGAATCAAATGATGTATCTTTTCAAAAAGGTACAACTTTCATATAAATCATGAATCACCACCATACTAAGATGACCTGATTTGAGCTTATAATAAATGAGTGATATTGGCTCCAAGCACCTCTCCTGGCTACGTGGGGTCTACTCTCTCCTCATCTCCACCACCTCTGAAGTATTAGGGTGTCTGTGTGTGTCTGTGTCTGTTTCTCTCTCTTCTGCTCCCTTAGGTCTTTTTTCCTCCCTTCCTTCCTTTTAACTTCAAAAGACTATCCAGTGTCTATAGTGAAGATTATTACTATAATGATGTTATCGTTGTTCTTATTCTTCACCCATTCGGTTAAAATGATCAGTCTTGGTCTGGTTCTCCTGTTAAAAACTACATGATTTTGGTTTCTCAATTCTTTCTGGCAGATAGATTAAAAATAGGATTCCTGGGGCTTCCCTGGTGGCTCAGTGGTTAAGAGTCCGCCTGCCGATGCAGGGGACATGGGTTTATGAGCCGGTCCGGGAAGATCCCACATGCTGCGGAGCCGCTGGACCCATGAGCCATGGCCACTGAGCCTGCACGTCCGGAGCCTGTGCTCCGCAACGGGAGAAGCCACAACAGTGAGAGGCCTGCGTACCACCACAAAAAAAAAAAAAAAGGATTCCTCTCAGACACTAAGTAAATATTGGCTTTCTCCCTTCCAGTACTTGGAGCTTTTCAATTTACTTAGAATAAATCTATAATCTAGTCCCATAATCTCTAGTCTCCAAGATGGTTTGAGAACCTCCTATAATAGCCTTATTAACAACCCCAAATTATAGGCTGGCCTACCTGTGGGCACACCCGCCTTTTAACTGTGGCTTTTTCACTTGGCAAAAGACTCACCTCTCTATTGTTTTCCATGTGCAAGTAATTGAATAACTGGGCTGTCAAGGAAAGCCCCACTGAACCCCATCTCCTAGTGAACTGTAGTTAGAGGTCGGGCAGCAGGGAACCCACCAGACCTACATCTGACTTTGCTCAGCCCTAGCTCTAGACTTCCCACTGTATTTGACAAATTATTCTCTGCACCTGCAATTCGGTGGGAGAAAGAATGGATTATGTCTTATCACCACACTGCTCATGAGACCTAGAGGGGAGGTAGATTGCTATCCAAGGCATGCAGGTAGGGATGCTTATAATTATTCCTCCTCTGGAAATCTTATGGATTGTGCATGAAATCCAGAATATAGTCTTCTCGATATGGGAGAGTCCAGATTTAAAGCCAGCTAATTTCCCAGTTACCACATCATCTGTGCATCCCTATTTCTCATACTTTTCATTTTTTCTCTAAAATATATTTTCTAGATGTTTCCTTGAGAGGAAATGTGGGAAGAAGAAGGGTGTGTTCTCTGAAACTTGGTTTACTTGAGTATCTTGCTTTAACTGCCTATTTTCCCTAGAGTTCTTCTTGTTCTTTATTCGGTCTTGTCTGCGTGGCTCCTCCAGGGATACTCTCGGAGACCTGAGTAATTGTCCCTGAGGCAGCCTGGTATCAGATATTGATGAGCCATTTAATTGGAGATGTAAAGGCAGCCGGCTTGGCTTGTGTGAAAGCTGTGGGACTTAACATTTGGTACACATGTAGGGAGTCCAGACATCTTATTAGAAAGACCACAGGTTTGGAGAAACATAAACCAGGTTTCTAGCTTCAGCTCTTATATTCATTGTGTATATCCTATAGAGGACAAATATTCAGAAAAGTTAAGTAATTCAGCCCAAATCACATAATCTATAATACCCATCTCAGAGGGTGTTTGAGAGGTCATTAAAGAAATGATACAGCAAAGCCCTTGACCTATAGTAGATACTCAGTAAGTGGTAAATAGATGGTGGTTACATTTATGGACATTTTGTGATAGGAGGAGAGTATATGAGAAATGCAAAATGACCAAAAAAAAAAAGAAAAGTAAGAGTATTAAAGACTAGTATCGTCCAGGACATGTATTGGAAGAAAGAGGATGGTGACAATAAGGAGAAAAAGATTAATGAATGAAATTGCACAAGAGAACAAGGACAACAGGAAACAGAAAGAACATGCATGAGTGAGTAAACTGGAGGGAGGATGACTCATCTAAGTTATCATGCAGATGGATAGCATTAAGGGAAAACAGTACCAAGTGAGAGATTGTAACTCTGGTTAAGGGAATTGCCAGTGTAGCAGCCTTACCCAGGACTCAAACTAAATACAGTGACCAAACAAATGCCAAACCAAGTACATAAGAAATCAGTGTCTTGTGGAGAGTATCATTATCCCGATTAATAAGTGCAGTTATGAAATCAACATACAAATTAAGCCTTGTGTCGAGAGCCAACAAAATAGGGGCTGCCCACAGGAATCCTACAGGTTTTGTCCTAAGAGGGGTCCTTTAATCTTTCTCTCTGACTCAGTCACTCTAAAATGAAGAACTTCAGGCCCCAACAGGGAGCTGTGAATTGCCTGAGGAGACACAACTCTTCAAGGAAAATGAGTTTCTGCTTCTGTTTCTGCAACTAACTCTCAAGCCTAGCAGTCCCCTTGCTCTGCCATGCTGCAGATGTGTCTTTGGGTACCACTTGACTTCTGCGGGCCCCCCAAGATACCAAGCCTGTTGTACCAGGAAATGAACAAGAGATGTTTTGCTTGGGGTTTTTGCAGGGTTTTTTTCCTGACGCAGTGAACATATATTCTATTCAAACAAATTTAAGGGGAAAAGGTGAAGTCATGAGCTTCTTTAGTTGGGAAGTCCAAGGATACAGTTCAGGCGTGGATGAACTCAGAGAGGAAGTGTCACCAGGTTACTCCCCTGTCTTCCTCTCTCCCTCTTTCTCCATCTCTTTTCGTTGCTACCACATGGGAAGTCTGCCTGAGAATGAAGCCAACACATAGGAAGACAAGAATGGCCACAGGAAGCCCCAGTCTTTTATTTAGTCATCTTATCAGCCCCATTCAAAAGACATTGCCTCTCCCCTGAGTGCACCCCAAGAGCCCAGGGTGATAATTCTCACTGACTCAACTTGGCTGAAGTGGGCATGTCTTAACTAGCCTGGTAATCAGAAGACTAGAGCTCCATTAGTGACAACTCAGTGTGTTATACCCTCCCTGGATCAGGAGTTTAGGGAGCCCTTCCTAAACCAAATGGGCAAAGAATACATAAGGATATGGTTCCTTAAAGAAGAATGTGGGGGAAGGAGAAGGAACGGGAGGCAGGCAAAAGCAACTGATTTCCTCTGTCATAAATTACATAGAAATTTCAACTGAATGCAAAATAAAACCAAACAACAGAAAGGACCCCACTCCTTTAAAGGCTGCACTCTGAATCCCAGATGGAACTTGGGAAGAGCTGACTTTATCCCCCCTGTTAATACTCTGGCCCCTTTCTTGTAAAGATACTGCACAGAACTCCCAGCAGGGGAATGAGTGGGACCCTGGCCAGATGGACCCTGAAGACTGTGAGGGCAGGGCCCCAGCAAAGGGCTCTGGGCTCTCCTCCCTCAGCTTCCTCTAATAATGTTCCCAGGGGAGGAGAGATGCTGGCTTAGTTGGAGCCAGCTTGTCTGTGAAATAAATTGAAAATTCCTCACAGTGAGAAGTACTTGACCTTGTTATCCGGATAACGTTGGGCTGGGTTAATCAAGTGACCTCTGTCTGGGAGGGTTCCACCACTCTTTACTTCACATCTCCAGAGAGTGAGAAAAGTCTCACTTGCCCTCAGCTGGCCTCATCAGGGATAGGGCTACCCTGAAGCCAGCTGCTCAGGTGTGGAGCAAACCATACCCCCTCTACCACTGTACTCCCAGGCATCTCTCTGAGTCCTCATATTTGTATCTACCTCTCCTGGAAGGAGGAAGGACCATCATGCTCTGGGTGTGATGCTGTGCTGGGGAGATAGGGAGCCTACGTGGTGTTGTCTTGCTGAATCCTTAAAGGGCATGAGCGCATTTAAAAGGAACAAAAAGACTAAGGACAAAATGTCAACCACCAACAAGGAATTTCCTCTTCGGTTGTTTGTGTTACCATGTACATTTGACAGATGCAGAATCCAAAAGACAGGGAAAGGAAAGGTGCCTCTGGAAATGGAGCAGTCTATTGGCAACATTTCTAGAAATTAAAGATTCATTATGAGATGTAATAAGTCATCTCAGACTATTTTCTTTATACTCAGTCTGCCCTGTTCAGATTTTTTAAAGCGAGGAACTGAAGAAATATTTTGGAGTTCACAAGGAAGGTCACTAAAACAGGAAACTGTAATTGAAAGAATAGGTAAGAGTTGAGCCAAAGGAATATGGCAAAAGGAGAAAAAGAGAAGCTTAGAGCTAGTGTTGGAGAATCCAAGGGAAAGGAGTGAATATGGACAAATTATTTCTTCATTATGTCATCCAGGAAAAACTTCTTAGGCACTTTAATCAAGATGATTCTGTCATGCTAACAAAACAGAGAATTGTTAAATAGAATTCATGTTTGGCTCCATTGCTTACTCCAAGTTTTATTCCAGAAATCATGCTATTTGAATTGAGAAAGATCTTTCTCTGTTGATTGCAAAAGTAATATCATTCAACTACTCTTTGAGGGGGCCTTCATAACTTAACATGATCAGGATTGACTGACTGGGTCAGTTGCAAGGTCATCCCAAGCAAGTCTCCCTCTAAACATGGCACCAGAATGCTATTTATGTTCAGTAGGGTTTGCATCCCTCCTCCCAACTTCAGAGATAAACATTAGTTGTTTGGCCCAATGTAGCTTTGCCATGGATAAATCTGCCAAAGCCCATTTTGAATCTGTAGTTTCACTTTTTACCACTTCTTTGGGTTTCATGTTTCATAAATTACCAACTTCTGTGTTGTCCTTAAACTTCTCTTTCTTCGTGTTTCAATGTTTGACACCCCATTCTAATGATCTGAGAGTCTGTTTTCCTCTACTGGTCTCATTAAACATTGTTTAGATGTTGAATGTGTTCTTCGCATGGTAACCATCCCTTCTGTTGACTAAACATCTCTAGCTCACCACTTCTGGGTACCAGTAGGGTTGTACCCACGAGTCTCTTCTGTAGACAGAGCCATGTAACTAATTCTGGCCAATGAGGTAGGAGCAGAAGTGATAAGCGTCACTTCCAAGCTGAAGTATTCAAATGCCAGTTAGAGAACCTTAAGAATGCTTTTTCCCTCCTATGGTGTTGTGTACATTTGAGGGGGCTGATCTACCAGCCTTTGTCTCTGTGTGACTATAATGAGCCCAGCATCATTGCCTACCTGCAGTGGATATGGAGTGTAAGAAGAAATATACTTCCTTTGTTTCAAGTCCCCAAAATTTTAGCATTGTTACCTCAGCCTGACCTAACCTATTCTGATTACCACACTTAAACATCATACTTTGTGAAGAAGATGAGGAAGAGAATTGGTATTTTCCCTCTACCAGGTCCCTTCCACTACACCCTTTTGATGGTGTCTTTCCAAGTATTTTTATTGAGTTCCCACTGTCTTTTTAAGTGGTAGTTTAAACGAAGAGTGGATTGCATTTGAATCATAGGCATATTCCACCAAATAGGCAGATACTAAGAATAATATGTTATTTCTTTGGTCATGATTAGAGAACAGAAAATGGAGAGCAGCAGAAGAGGGATGCTAGTGCAAAGGATAAATGAAATTTGCTAAGACTACAAACTTTGGACAGAAAAAGAAAAATGAATAGATTCAACTTGCTTTAGGAGGACCGATCTCCCAGCAATTACACATTATTTCACTTGAGTCTTTATCATGCAAACTTGCGTGCTTTCCATTTAGGCTGTCACCACACTGTTCTATAGTCGCAGTTTATTCTGCTCCTTTCATAGCCAAAGACTCTCCTAAACATTATAAATTAACTGGTGAACAGAGTGTGGCAATCCTGAGGCTGAGGTTAGGAATTGCCTGTAGCTCATATTGGTCAACTGACACAGGACTGGTGCTTTAAGTTGTGCGCTTCACAGTTGGACGAGAGATAGAAGCATAATTAATGAAATGCTGCAATTTTTTATCTCCTAAATCTGCTCAGCTGGACCTCCTTCCAAATACCTTTTGCGTCTTTGTCAGCTGGCTCAAGGAAAATGTTTTTCACGGAAATGTCCTAAGATTAGGAGTCAAGCAAAACTGAATTCTCGTCTCAATTCTTCAAATATTAACTGGGTAAACTTAGTAATGTCCTTTAAGCTCCATGTTCCTTTCAATGGAGGTAGCAACACTAAAACCTGAGATATGTTGTGTTAGAAAAAAATAGTAAGAAATATGCAACTTTGCCCATACAGAGTGTTCAATGCATAGATAATATATGTACAAACGTATATAACAACTCATGAACTGATGAAAACAATACAGAATAAACATTTCTGCAGATGGGGTGGAAAACATTTAAAGTAATGTCAAAATCTGTCAACAGTTTCATACTCATTTGAGTAGAGAAATATGTGGTTCTAACTGAGATTATTCTTGTAAGCAGTGTAAATTTTATTTAGTTTTGTTTCTGTGCATAAGTTCTTTCCCACAAAGTATTGAAGAAACATCCTCAGGGAGAAGAAAGAAGTATCACTTCAGCTGGTTGAAAGAAAGAAGCCTTTCTCATGCAAATACATAGTCCCCTTTTGTCTACGTGATGGACTCTGCAAAACAGGATACTTCCTTAATTACTTCTGATAAGTTTTTCCTATTTGAGTTAAAATATTTTTTTCTCCAAATATAAGTATGTATGTACGTGCACACATGTACGCGTATGTATATAAGCATAGAATTTCATGCATACTTAATTATATATATTTCACACATATATACACACATTTCTGTGTGTATATGTTTATTTCATAGCCAAAACCTTTCTTATAACCTCTACTAAAAAATCCACTGTCGGGCTTCCCTGGTGGCGCAGTGGTTGAGAGTCCGCCTGCCGATGCAGGGGATGCGGGTTCGTGCCCCGGTCCGGGAAGATCCCACATGCCGCGGAGCGGCTGGGTCCGTGAGCCATGGCCGCTGGGCCTGCGCGTCCGGAGCCTGTGCTCCACAACGGGAGAGGCCACAACAGTGAGAGGCCCGCGTACCACACACACACAAAAAAATCCACTGTCAGATTCTTAGAAAGGCCTTGCCAATTGAATGATAAGAATAAGATAGAATAGGAACTTGTACATTGTAATACTTCACAGGACACAAAGGAAAACCATTCTACACAGTCTGTGTTAGAAATCCACTCTTCCTGTAAACCTGGAACATTTTGGAAGCTTCTCAGTACCCAGGAGAAAGAGTAGCTTATGGAGAGAGAATAAAGTTGTTTTCAACATAAGTTTATCACAACCTTGTTCTTCTGCGTGGTTTGCCAAGTGGAAACATTTGAGAGGCTGAACTTGAACTGGATCCCAGGTGCTCAACCACGGGTCACTGACAGTCATCCCAAGTTCCTGTTAAGCAAAGAAGTTCATCTTCAGGGCAGTTCAGTTCCATTACTGGACAGGGGCCTCTGCAGGAGACTCTGTGCTTGAAAACAAAGCCATCAGGCCCTGCTTCATTGATTAAAGGACCAAAGCTGTCATTTTGGCAACTCAGTAGACTAAGTGAAACTTAATAAATATAAAAGGAAAAATAATTTAAGAATTTAACTAGCAGAACGATGTTCAGAAAGCATCTAACCAGACTTAAATTGCATATAAATAAAATACTACACTGTGATTAGAATGTTAAAAATGAGGCAAAGAGACCAGATAATAGGAGTGTGGTTTTGTCTGATAGCTTTCCACAAATGACTCAAAAGGGTGAATGAAACAGAGCAAATTGAGCTGGTTTTCTACTTTAAACACGTGAACAGCGTTTTACCTTGTCTAGAAAACCTTACCTTATGCTGTTACTACCCAAAACAAGGTCCTTTGTCCCTTGCTGGGGTTATTTCATGGCCCAGAACTCCATCCGTCTACCCAGTACACGTGTGTCAGCCTAAGGAGTGGTTTTAGGTTCATAAGCACGAAACAAGAGTCAGCCAATGCATTAAGTTGTGATTTACACTTTGTTGCAAATGTATAATTTACTATTTTAGCAGAACAATATTTATCATCAATAAATATCCATGAAATATCCATTCTGGGAAAGCCACAGGGTATGTTTTGGGGAAGAGAAGGGAAGCAAAGAAAGGAATAAGGTAGAGTCCACTATCAAGGAGTAAAATAAATGGATATGAATCTCACCAGAATTTGTAAATTGTATATATTTACTTCTTTTAAATCCTTGTGTATAACAAATGCCCTCTCAGAAAACCAGGGGTGATTTCTCCAAGCTGGTAACAGGATAATTTTATAAGAGTAGAAATATCTGATTTACTAATAGTTCGTCCTATTTTGTAACAATTCGGATGTAAAGTCAAGTCATGCTTAGAAAATAATTCTGTCAGCATATTGTGGACTAAAAACTCAAAATCATATAAAAGTCATTCATATCATTCACAGATACAATATTGGGAAGCCTTGGTCAGTGCGGTGAATATTGCTCAGCACATTTGTATATAGTTGGTGTGGCAGTTCGGGTGGCACTCACTCTGACACTTCTTCTTTCAGATATCACAACTGCTGATTCACAAGCTCAACCTGAACTCCGTGCACTTTGAGCTGAAGCCTGGAGTCCAAGTCCTTGTCCACGCGGCTCACTTAACAGCAGGTCAGTGTTCCTGTCCCTGGGTTCTGGCTAGTGGCTCTAGCAGAGGGGGTCCCAATTTGTTGTTTCAGCAAAACAAGTCTAAATGGTGCCACTGCTAATCAGAAATAGGGCATCAGTCTTTGGAGGTTCCCTTGCCGGGCATTTTTGCCTTAATGGGGACCCAAAAGGCAACAGAATAAGGTGATTTTCCCACTTAGTCCCTGGCAAAAACCATCAGTGAATCACTAAAAGACCCCTCAAATGATAGCATACTTCATCTTACAGAAATCTTGAAAATAAAGTTAACCTTACAAATAACTTTTTTCTGGTCTTTCTGCAAAACTTTATTTTTAAATCATTCATGTTACAAAGAATTTTCTTGCTTTCAGTCTTGGGATAAAATCGTACAATAGAAATAGCTGGGACTTAGGAGCTGTCCAGGGTCATAGCCAGAAGCTGAACCCCACGTTGGTCAGGATCTTACAAATGAATTCATATCATTGAACTTCTGTCTCTTCACCTGTAAAAGATGATGGGGAAAACCTTCTTCTTAAGGCTATATAGAAGTGTCAATAATAATTCAGGTTATCCCAAGTATATAGAAATAGATGTTATTGTTTTATATTAATAATAAATTAAATTAACACTATTTATTGAGCACTTATTTTTGCAGAGTACTGTATTGACGCTGCATAAAGGCCAGTAGGAGATGGTCTTTGCCCTCAAAAAACATATCATCTGGTTGTGGTGTTTCAAAGTTTGGTGGTAGCAGTGGTGGCAGTACTGTGGGATGGGGGAAATGGTCAATGCTGGGATCTCTGAACAAGTAAAATGCATAAATGCCTTTATAGAGAGACAATAGAACGTTTCTAAGCGCTTGGACTTTGCAGTTGTGTAGCCAGACTATTGGTTTCAGTCTTGCTCCATCACTTGCTTACTATGTGGACTTTGAGAGGAGACTTAACTAACTTCTCTGTTGCATCTATGACAATGGGATTGCGTGAGGATTAAGTTAATTTAGGTAATGCACTTAGAGAAGTGCCTGGTGCATAGTAAGGTATTATTTTTCTTTTTATTCTTTTTATTCCTAACAATCAGAGTTTTATAAGAAATTTAAAGTAGGGATAAATTGTACCCAGTCAAAATGACCCAGGGAAGCTTCATGGAGGAGGTAATCTTTGGGAAGGACCTTGAAAGGTGGAAAGGACTGAACTCAAGAGATTATTCCAAGTACTGAAGCACCAAGGAAGGAACACGAAAGCCTTGAGGGCTTTGGGATGTTGAATAAGTGGGAACAAAGATCAGGTGTTTCCAAGTCCATTCTCTGGTTTCCTGGAGGTGTGCCTAGGTCTAGAGGATGGCCAAACAGGTTGGCCATTGGCCTCTTTTCTGCTTGGATTCCATCTTTTTTCTTTATTAGGGTTTCATAAAATGTTTTTTCTTAAAAAAAAAAAAAGCACTGCTTTAAAAAATACAGATATTTGAAAGTCAGTGTCCTGAACATAGGATACGGAGGTGGGAGGGTGGAAATATGCCAGGCTGAGCCGTTTGTACTTCCTTTGGTGGGCTCTGGGAAGCCGTGGAGACCTAGGAGCAGAGGTATGATGGATTCAGTGTCACTTGAGAAAGGTGTCTCTTAAGAGGAAGGATTGAGTAGGGCCGATTAGCTATTCTGCAGCTTGTCCTCCTAATTCATCTGTCGAACAGACATTTACCGAGTTCCTGGCTACTCTGAGCCAAGAAATGTTCTCAGCATGGGATAAAGTCTCTGGCTCCATGAAGCTTCCATCATTGGGGAAAGCCAGGGAAGAAGTGCATTAACAAATGCCACCTTCTGAATGATGAAAAGGTCCTGAAGAAAACAAGAAAGTGTAAGAGAAAAGCAAACTATGAAGCACCTAGGAGGGCAGCCCTTAAGCCTGAGACCTGAACGAAGGCTGCCAACTTATCTCAGAGCATTTGATGATCAAGACTGGCTCTTTCCTACCAAGAAGGTTGGCCTTTGGTCTTCGGTGAATGGTGGTGACACGTGGCAGTTACACATTAGCTGGTTGAACTGGAAAACAAAGTCCAGAAACATCCCTTGTAGTCATGCTGATGGCCAAGCCACTGACAGATGTTGTCAAATGAGCAGAAAGTAACTACTTGAAATTGGTTGAAATAAGTTTACTGATTATTTCATCGAACTACACAGTCCAGCCTGTTGGTTGGCATCCTGAACTTCATCATCTTCTCCTACGACAGCTAAAGTGACTTGTTCCCTTTGAGTTTAGAGGTTAAAAACAGCTGTGCCTGATACTCCATACTGAACTCTGGGTTTGAGGGGATGTGGCCAACTAGTTCATCCCTTTACAGCGTACTCTGCTTCTAAAGGAATGCTATCTTCAGGCAGCGTATTTTGCTGTAGTGTAGCCTGATTTATTAGAAAACACTCCCCAGGGACTTTGTTAGAAAGGGGAGCATCATAGACCAAGATAGCCAGAGAACTAACCCCACTCTCAAATTCTGGAGGCAACTTGCATTTCATACCTTTTCTTCCCCATACCTCTCTCTCTTCCAACAGTTATTTAATATGCCTGGTTTTTATTTAACGGATGGTCACATCACACGCCAAAGGTGGTTCAGATTAGCTTCCTGAATTTGAATCTTATTTTAAGTGGTACTTAAGGATGCCTTCCTGTGATGACATCTGGTTTAGAGCTGGGATCCAGCTGAAAAATAAGGATAAAAAAAGTGGCTAATTAGCTGAAACTGATCTGGCCAGCGGCTTGGCCAGGGAAACTGATATAGCAAAGGCATCCATGAATCCATAGTTCCATGTGGGAAAGAAAGGCCATTCCTGATAACCACAAGAAATTAATCCCACCAGTGTAAGTTCCAGATGGCAAGGACAAATGCAAAGTTGGGAAGATCTGGAAAATTTATCCAATTAGTGTCCATACTTCATTTCACAGCTGGGAATTTGGGGAGCAGTACGCAGATCCCTGGGAGGAAGGGCTGGCAAAAGGGAGTGTGTTACTGGGAACACACTGAGATTTGAAGGAGAGACCTCTGCAGCATAGATATATACTATGCAGAGTTACCAAGGGAACAAAACAAAACTGCAGTTTGAGGCAAAAGCCCAGACTTAGGCTGGGCCAATTTGGAGAGAGTGAGAAAATTCTTTGGCTCCCAACCATTGGGGCTGTCCCTGATTCTTCCCTGTTAGATCTGATAGTATCTCTCCTACATCTTTTGGCAGTGTAATTCGAAACCTGATCACCTGGCATTATTGAGCTTCCTAGGGTGCCTGGCTGGGTGACTGGAGTTAAATGTAGACTTATATGTGGATAATCAACTCCAGTTGGAAGAGTAAAGGAAGAGAATGCCAAGGGCTGACACAATAACTGAGCCTTGGAAACTTTCTCTGTATTGATTTTAGCCATATTTGTCATAATAGTGTTAGGACTGGCAGAATCTAAGGGTACAAAGTCACTGTCAGCCAGACTTTCATATGCAAAAGGCAAGGCTTGTGTTAAGGCTGGCACTCTTCAATGACTGTGATGAGGAAGTAAAATATAGGAGGGATCAGTTTCCCATTGGCGATTGTTCCTAAGTTATAGTTCTAACTGCCCAATTTTTTTTTTTTTAACTATTAGGACAGGGTGGTAGACTATGAGGGAATTCTCCTTTCACTCATAGAAAACTTGGCACATTGGGTAGGGGATCAGTTGGATTGAGACATTGCTGCAGTTTCTTTGATTAAGTTGAAATTAACACATCATATTGGGATGGCTAGAAGAGAAGGAGAAAGATACCTGGGGGAAAAAAGACACAGTGAGGAAGAGAATTTGACGCAGAACTTCCACCTCAGCTTCCTTTCCCTTCCTCTCAACCCCCCTGGCAGAAAATAAAAATAAACTACAATTTAAAAAAGGAAAAAAGGACCACTGCTTGCAGCATTTCATGTTTCATAAGCAGGATTGCTAATACCTTTCCAGGGACCATTCCAGCACACTGCTGCATTCCATTAATTGCTTAGCAGATGTTCAGCAGCCTTCTTTTAAAAATATTTGAGCCAGAGTATGTTGCTGGTGGGAGAGGCAATGCATAATTTGGTTCATCTCCAAGGAAAAAGAACTGTCTCCTTTCAGGAATTTACTAGCCTTCTTTTGTTTTTCAAACTCAGTTCCCTGTTTGCTTTTATGGGAACACAAGGTAAGCATTTCCAGATATCTGGATGTCATTAGAGACTGGATTTCATTTCTTTCCCCCACATGTTCTATTAAGGAATTCATTAACTTGGTGCCTAAGTGGAGCTAAACATTGAACGCAGTCCTTGTTTTGTTTTTAGCTATTCCTTTGCTTCTCGGTTTCTGTGCAATTCCTCTTGAGGGCCTAATCACTCCTGACAGCTAGGTTTCTAAAACTCTCTTGTAGAAAGGAAAGATTTCAGACTGTATGGGAATAAGGAGAGGACGAAGAGCTGTTATCAAGAAGTTTGAGGGAGGGCCATACCCTGAGTGGCTCACTTTGGCTTTTAGGACCTCATGGCAGCTGGCGCCGTGTTGAGCAAAGGGAGAAGCGCTCAATCAAGCTGGGGGCTGGACTGGCAATGCTGGTGTTTTGACTGAAGTGTACCTTTGCTCGTGTTATTCCCAATTGGAATATTTCTCCCCCTTCTCTACTTTTCTCCATCTCTTCTGTCTCTGTATTTAAGGCTCAGCTCAGTGCCAACATTTGCATATAGCATCTTTCCGGAGATCTTTACCTGGATACCATCTATCCCTTGTCAGAACTCACGTGGAATTTTTTAAGCTGTATCTGTCTGATCATCATCATCACCTCTCCTATTTAATTTCCCGAGGATACAGTTCACCATATCTGTATAGTGTCTCCGTCATTGTACCTAGAAGAGAACTTGCCCATAGCATGTGCTCAATAAATACTGCTTTCATAAATAGATATATAATTAATTTATAACCTGTAGAGGTGCATTAAAAATTCCATCCCCCCCAGTTAACCTTTGGAGTCAGTGTGTT